AGCCCCGGCTGCCCCCCCGGTGGCTGAGCCCGCTGCACCCCCAGCCTTATTCCTCAGCCCTGGCACTGCGCTCTTTTCTGGGTTTGGGGTTTCTTTTCCTCGTGTTTTTATTTGTTTTGGATTTTTTTGTGTTTGGTTTTTTGTTCAGCTTACGGGATTTTTTTGTTGCTGCTTTTTGAGGTGTGTATAGGAATGGGAAAACAGCAGCCACCCCCAGCCAGCACTGTGCTCTGCCAGCCTCACTGAACTTAAGAGAAGCCAGGATTGTATTATTTTTTCCCTGTAAAGGTTGCCCAACCCAGGCGGGGTCCCCCCATCCCACCACCTGACGCCTGTCCCCGGTAGGACACTGCAGAGACTCTGACCCAGCTGGGGAGACAAGATGCCCCCCTATTGCCCAGGAGATATTTCCACAATCCAGGATGTTTTTCCATTAGAAAATAAACCTGTTAGGGAAACTGGAAACTCATCTCGACAGTCACCAGAATTTTTTTCCACTAGAAAAAGCTTGGATTCCAGTTGGGATCAAACCCTCAGCTACATGCACCAGGGACAGGGGCTGCAGCTACAGAAGCTTGAAGCCAGTCTCTTGACTCAGGAAAAAGGTGGGACCCGTGCCCAGGCTGCCAGCAGTGCTGTCAGCAGCTCAGCCAGTGCATAGCCCTGCCTGCAGACACACAAACAGTTGCTTCATAAATATCTGCCTGAACTAATGTAGGAATGAAAGTCTTTTACTACAAAGAGACTTGTGTGACACTCCACCTGCCTGCTCTGTTCCCCAGTCTCACTGTCGTTACTACACTCGGCAGGAAGATTGCAAGGGAAGATGTGCTGGGTGTGGTAGGGGTGTGAGGAAGAAACTGTGCAATTTTCCCGCCCACACGCAGCAACACACCTTGGCTAGAGACACAGGGGCTTAGTGCTTTTGGTGTTAAGAGCAGAAAATCATGCCTGTCTCCAGTCCTTGCACACCAGCAGGACTTGGTGTGCTTTACAAGCACTGGGGCACTCTGCAAGTAGATAGAATAAAACCATTAGGCAGTAGAGGCAACATAGAGATGAGACTTTGATCTGGGATGAACCTGTTGTTGTCCTATGAGCAATCCCATGGCACTACTGAGTACGCAGAGCCAAAACAGATGCACAGTTACAACACGCTGGCATCACTCCACATTAAACCCAAAGCTGGAAGTTGCAGACAAGCTGGTATATGTGAGGATTAGGTGGCTAGAAAGCACCAAAGCCTTTGAGCCAACAAGGTTGAGTATTGATAAGGCATAGTTCAAACTCATAACACTGGAGCTTGGGGGAGAGACTCTGGCAGAGATACTTGGAAATTCAAAGCACATTTTTATAGTGGTCTTTGTGTAGCCTTCTAGTTCAATGTGTAGACTGGCAAAGACTTCGTGTTAATGAGATGCTTAAACTGCACACCAGAAGTTTGTCACTCAGCACCTTCCACATGAGAGTAAAGAGGTGTCCTAGGTATGAGAACTGGTGGGTGTGTGCTGTTGGGGTGACAGTCCAGGTGGCTGTTCAGACATCTGGATGAGCCCAAAAGCTAACAGAGGCACTTTTGATAGTCATATCAGTAATTTGCTGTTTTGTCTTCACTGTGGTCTCACAGGGTCTCTGATAACCCTCTCATGCTTTTCCCACCGGGTTGTGTGCCAAGTGATCAGTGATGCTGACCAAAATAACTCTGTCCAGGACAATGGGACTTTGGATTACTCTTGGATAACTCAGCTGGAAAACAATTATGGATTCTACATTGGCTTGGGCTTGGCTGTCTTCTCTAGCTTCCTCATTGGAAGCAGCATCATCCTCAAGAAGAAGGGGCTTCTACGCCTGGTGGAGAAGGGAGGCACCAGGGCAGGTAAGGCTTTGGGGGGGCAGGAGGGAGAAGGTCCACCTCTTCCCAGAGTCACACACATCATCCAAACTCCAGCACTCATAAGGCAAGGGAACCCTTCTGGGTACACGTCAGCCTACCATCATCCATGCAAATAAGACCTTTTCTGAATATATTTTTGTGTGCAAGACATAGAGAGAAGTGCTGTGCTGGAGCTGAGGAGCTAATTTACAGAGCCCTGCCCTAGCAGGGCTAAAAGCAGCATTCCCCTGCCTTGCACTGCAAGTAGCAAGTCACACACTGTGTAATCAGACGGGTACCCACCAAAACAACATGTGCCCATCACAGCTCTTGCATGGGAAGGAGGAAACAGTGTTGAAAGCTCTCTGAAATGTGTATCTTTGCACAAAGGTACAAGTCATCTCTGTGTCACAGACTGGAGCAGAGCAGCACAACTACATGACCCTGCTTTTGCTCTTCTTGATGCATGAGGCAGCTTTGCCACCAAGTCACTGAGACAAGGATGTAGCCCTATGTGCTTTAATTGTATTGGTGAGAACCATTTATTAATGCAGGACTGCACACCTGCAATCTCTGTGAACCCTACTTGTGGCTTTCAGATACTTCTGAGGTATGTTGCTCAACAACATGTAGATAACTTTCCTCTAGCACCAAGCTCTTAGGGCAAGGCATGTGTTTATGTGTACATATCTATGAATGGCAAATGGTGGAGGAGCACTGGCTACAGTGAATTACACTCTGGAATTGTACACATCCCATCAGCATTGCAGACGTGCTCTAGCAAGAGCTTAAGTCCTACCTGGCAGCTGACCTACTTGCATAGCTACAAACCAAAATAATGATAATTACAATACTACTGCTTCCCAGTTCTGGGCTAGGAACAACTCTCAAATAATTTTACAAAGGACATATCACCATCCTGATTTTACTGTGTCCCCATATGGGGACACAGGGGCACAGAACAATGAAGTGACAGTCCAGGGTCAACCAGCAAAGTCACAAACAGCACCCAAGCCACAGGCCAGTCTCAAGTCCATCTCCATCCCTACCTAATGGTAGATACTCAATTCACATGTGTTTATCTTTCACCTTATATTCACACAATGAAATACCAAGTACTGTTTCAACTGTTTTCAAGATGTCTCTCTCCTCCTTCCTTCCATGAACTCCTCCCATCACAGAGCCAAGCCAGTAAAACAACAGCAAACCCCTCCCTGTTTTTCAGAACATTTAACCAGGAATTAGAAATGAATGACAAAAAACTGAAGCTGACAAGAGTTCATGAGAAAAAAAAACAAACCACAAAAAAAAACCAACTAAAAGCCAAAACAATGCAGCAAATTCTAAGGAATACCAAAGCATAACATTTCAACTTAAGCATTTGTGAACTTGAGGAACCAGAAGAGGCTGAATTAGAGCAAATTCTTGTCTGCCTCTTCATTTCCCCTTTCCCTATCCTGCCCTTTAATCTCTCAGTCCCAGTGTTTCACCCCTGCTACCTGAGCACATCACTTTTCTACAAGGCAGCTCAAACACTGCTGTTACTGACAGCTCTGGTGAGGTCAGGCTTCCCAACAACATATGCTCTCTCTGACCCAGTAAAATCAGGCTTCACAGTGTCAACAGGCTCAAGTCCCTTAGGTCTAACAGCTTGTGGGTTAAGACCCGAGCTGGATTAGTTCCCAACACAGTATGTCCATTATTCCATATAAGTATGCACACCTTTCACCAAGTTGTTCCAATGTCAGGAATCTTTCTTTCCATCAGAAATGCCCAGTCACAAAGTGCCTGTGCCACATCAACGTAACATGAGGATTTCTGGCAGCTCAGGCTGAGGCCCTGTCATACCACCATGATACAAAACAGTGTACAAAAGGAACAGACAAGCTTCTGGGACAGGATGCAGGGACCCTTCACCACAAGCAGACAGCAGCACAAAGGAGGCACCACATGCCTGCACAGAGCAGCTGACCAGTTTTTCCCCACCTCATCCTTCATCGCTATAACCCCCATATGAGCTGGATTGGGAAAAGCACATGGTCCTACCTTAGCACCCACACATGAGACTCTACAGCGTGCTGGTGTGATGTGAGGTGAAGTGCAGGGTCCCCACAGGCAGGATGTAGGGTGGCAGTGTCCCAGGTAGCAGCCTTTGGGTGGGAGCACCCAGCACAGAGCAGGCCCTGCTATCCTTCATCCCTCTGCTCCAGGATTGCCCCATAACAAACATGCAGCTGGAACGTGCAAGATGAAACAAGACCAGTCCATGGAACCTCAGCCAGGGTGTTTGTTGCTGGATTTATGGACTGGTGCACCCTGATGAACCAGTGAGGATGACCACAGTTCCCAGGGCTGAAGGGCAGCCCCAAGCTCCATCCTACAGCAGGGCAGGCTGCACCACAAGCTGATAAGCTCTGTGGCTTTGGGGCAGTGGGTGCCATTCCCATTGCCACTCAGGATTAAACAGCTCCTTTTATTGTACTTGCATTATCCAGCCCTAAATGCCAACTTGCTCTAATCCCTTAGCATGTCAGCATATTCTGTCCTTCCAGGCTGTTTTCTTTGTCATGCTCTTCCCTTTGCAATTTGTCCCTCTTGAAAGGGATGTTTCTCATCTGTCACTCCAAAGAGCATGGTTGTTAACTCCTGCCTACCTGTGTGCTTTGCTTCCTCAGGAGATGGAGGCCACGGCTACCTAAAGGACTGGCTCTGGTGGGCTGGCTTGATAACTAGTAAGTAGAAGCCGTTTCCCTGGGGTTGAAGCTGTTCCAGGCTCTGTGGGTCAGGTGCAGAACAAGCCCAGTATCTGGTGGCTTAGAAGTTTTTTCTTCTGGCAAGTTCCCCAGTCATCCACAAAGGTACCTCAAGGAGAGGGGAGCAGTGAGCCATACAACATGTCTCCACCATCCTCCTGCAGGGCTGGTAGGACTTGCTGGCTCAGTTTTACTCAACCAAAAGCATGGAAATCCAGGTTTTAATCAGGCAGCTGGCTGGTCTGCCTGTGTACCAGGCACAGGACAAACAATCTCCCAAGCGTGCCTGGAGACTCCAGGAAAGGTCACTGCTGCAGCCCAAGGGAGGTGTTGGTAGAGCTCCTTTCTTGAGCAAAACTTGCTTTGCCTTAGAGCAAGACTTAATTCCTTCTTCTCATGCTGCAACATTATCGTATCTTCTCAAAGTGGACTCACTGCTGCACATGGAGGAGCAGAGGGATTTTCAGAGCAGTCTTTTCTGGCTCTCACTGCTGCAGCAGCAGGAACTCAAGGTGCCCCCACCTTGCTCTGCCCTTACAGCTCCTGCTACACAACTATAGCAGCCCAACCCATAAGCAACCATACTCACTGTTCAGGGGACAAGAACAAGCCAGACAAGGAAAGACACCACAGCCCCAAGGAGAGTCTTTGTAGGTGAGGAGAAGACTCCCAGCAGCCCACCTGACCCCTCAGGAAGGACCCAAATGAGCTGCAGCTGCCTGCCTGGACTGGGGGTTTGATGAGTTAATGTGGGTCAGCTGTGGCATGGCCAAGCCCCACCACCTGCAGCCCTTCTCCCTGAGGGTGCTGGGCTTTAGTAACACCTCTGCCTGCATTAATTTGTAATAGACTTTCACCAACTATCTGGCCCTGTTCAGCAACAGCATGAAACCCCCATAATAAAACCCCCTCTGCTGTCTTACTAGTTTGCAAGCCCACAAGAGAAAACACAAAAAGTGTACTGGAACTCACTGGTATTTATTTTTCTTGTGTTTGTTTAGTGGGTGGAGGGGAAGCTGCCAACTTTGCTGCCTATGCCTTTGCTCCTGCAACTATTGTCACACCCCTGGGGGCTCTGAGCGTTCTCATAAGGTGATTTATGTGTCTGAGGTTTGCAATTTGCCTTTTTTTTAATTTGCCTGTTTGTCTTGTAAGATACAAAGATTTGAAGTGATGCTAGTATGATTCATTCTGCCAGAAATAAAAACAAAACAAAAAAGCCTGGGTATTTTCTAAAAAAATACTCTCAAAGTTGCTGTGCTTTTGGGGGGTCATTTGGAAACCCCTGAATTAAGCAGCATGCCCTTCTGGATGGAAATGCTGCATGTGGATAGCAACCACATACACTTCAGATTAAATGATTACAAATATCAGTGTTACTTCCTTTCTTATTGCAGCCCTTTAGCCAATTCAAGGTTGGGTTGGTTTTTTTTGTTTTGCTTTGTTCTTGTAATGAACTAAAAATCTAAAAGGGTAAAAAAACATCAGGCTTGTTATTAAACTGTCTTTCATTTGCCTAATGTTTTCTAGGCTTTTAGGGCACTCTGATGTTGTGTTTTTATTTTTCTGTCTATTGCCAAAAGGACTGAAACCCCTTTTTAAAATGTATTTGAAAAAAAAGGAGATTCACATCAAAATACATGACTCCAGGTTCTAAAGTTTTGATAGAAGGGCTGTTATTGTGAAATGCACAAGCAAACTGAGAGTTAGGACTGCTCTGGTGCCTTGCCCCAAATTTTTATGGGCAACAACTAGATATTTTTGCAGATACATCTTCAGCTTCAGTTCCTTCAGAGTTTCTTTTAGTAATTCTGATTATTTAGTTAAAATTAATGTTACTCTTTTGTTGTTAGGCATTTGTTGTTTTTCTCTCTCACATTGGTCCTTGAAGTAATTTCTTTGGGCATTAAAGGCTTTATAGTGTTTAACATGAGTCATGAGTGACTCCGTAGACCCTGAAAATACTCCTGAGGATGTGCTAACACATTCAGCATTTTTTTCACCTGCTGATACATGAGCTGTGATCTATTGATCTCACCTGCATCTCAGTGGGCTCAGCTGTCAGTAATGCAGTGTATTAACACACTGAAAGCCAACAAATATACTCTGAATTTGTCCCTTGTATGAAGGCATTCTTTACCTGATTTTAACTGCTGCCACTTCTTTAAGAGTTTAAAGCCTCAGCTGACATTTTTTCTGTCCCATGCAGTGCCATCCTGTCCTCCTATTTGCTTGGAGAACGGCTCAACCTGCTGGGAAAGCTGGGCTGCATGCTCAGCCTGGTGGGCAGCACTGTGATGGTGATACATGCCCCAGAGGATGAGGAGGTCACCACTCTAGATGAAATGTGCTCTAAGCTGAAAGAGCCAGGTATGCAGGTCATGTTTCCTCTCTCAGGACTGGGCAGTGTATGCTGCTCCCCATGCCTGCTGCACAGTTATGAGTTACTTCTCTCCCTCTTCCAGGTTTCCTCGCTTATGCTGCGATCCTCTTGGCTCTCTGCTTCCTCCTGATCTTCTACCTCGCACCCCAATATGGCCAGAGGAACATCCTCGTCTACCTCACCATCTGCTCTGTTATTGGGGCCTTCTCAGTGTCCTCCGTCAAGGGCCTGGGTATTGCCATCAAGGGCTTCTTTGCTGGTCAGCCTGTGTTGCAGCACCCACTGACATGGATCCTAATCATCACGCTGGTGGCATCCATCACTACACAAATTAACTACCTCAATAAGTCGCTAGACATTTTCAACACCTCTTTGGTGTTTCCCATCTACTATGTGCTGTTCACCACCATCGTCATCACAACTTCCATCATCCTCTTTAAGGAGTGGGTCACCATGACTGTAGTCGACATCATTGGGACAGTTTGTGGCTTCCTCACCATCATTTTGGGGGTGTTTTTACTCCATGCCTTCAAAGATATGGACGTCAGCTTAGGGAATCTACCACAAGTCCTCCAGAGTGGACAGGAAGCACCAGTCATCCGAGATGACAAGAACATCCTGATAGAGGTGGACAATGCCAGCATCGCCCCGGAGGATAAACCCAAAGTATTCATAATCTACACTTGGTGGTTACATGCAAGGGTCTAGAGGTTGGGTGAATGGGTTGATGTCAATATTCCAGAACCCTACAGAGCAGTTTAAAAAAGGAAAAGCAGAAAATAAATCCAACGGTATCTTATCCAAAGCTTGGTAGAGTCAAGCCAAGTCTTTATCTGGGCAATTGGATCTTTGCCACAGTGTAGCAACAAGGGGTATGTTTAATGCTTCAATACATGCAGCCCCTGAAAATGAAAATCCTCTTGAAATACTTCTGGGACAAAGCTCCTCTGTGAGGTCCCTTCCCATCTCTTATTCTTGGCAGGTTTACTCTTGCGCTTCTTGCCCCCCGCATGGCCATTGGTGTATTTATTTCCAAGCCCTGACTGAATGATTGATTAGTGTTTTTTCTTTTTTTTTCCTTTCTAGACACTTGCCTGAACTCTTAAAATACAGACCAGTATCTCAAAAGGAGGTGAGAGACAAGGACTGAATGGTGCACGCCTGCTATTCAGACTCTACTCATCCACGGTTAATTACTTGCTCTGCAAATAATAAGAATATTGGTGAATATGGGCAAAATGTGCCAGGTTTTGGAAGAGATGCTTACTTGTGCTCAGTGGCAGGACCCAAGCCATGAAGTGTTTTTACAGGATCATTGCAGAGAAATCTTTTTCAGCCTTTGTTTCTTGGGAGGGCTGGAATATGCAATCTCTCGTTTTAATAACATTTCAGTACTTCTTTTTTAGTCTGGAAAGGGAAATAAAGGCTTTTATATTTAAAAAAATAAAATTAATCAAAACTTGCCTGTGGATCTGAAAGTTTTAAATGATTTCTCTGATCTTATTGGTGAAAATGTAAAGGATAAACGGGCTGAAGGACAACAGAGTAGAGCAGAAAGAACATTTGGGGCAGAGCATAAAACAGCAGCGCCCTCCTTTGGCAGCAGAAAGTGATCCAATTCCCTCGAGCTTTGTTTTTTGGCATCCTAATTGCTGTAATGTTTTATGCATTTTATTTTAGAAATAATTGTAAACGGGACTCATCCTTCCCACTGCCTAGACTGTGTTTCCTAAAACCCATTCCAGCTGGAGGAATGCCACCTATAAATTGAAGATTTGAATGAAAACAGTACACAGTGACTTAATATTTCATGAGAACTGACAAATTTATTAAAACTAGGCAAAAGGCACAATGAATTGCATTCTTCAAGTATTTGCATAGATGCACAGAGAGAATTATTGTAAACCATTAATATGTGGGCACAGGAGAAAGTGAGATGTATTTCAGTATATGTTCTCTCAGGTAATGTTCTCTTTCAAAACCATCATGTTTTACCATCATTTACTCCTGCAGTTCCCCTGTTCTTATTCTCTCAACTTGCACACATATAAAAATTAAAAGGACTCACTTAAAACTACCTTTTTGGAGACTTTATGATATTCCAGCAATAACATTTTTCATTAGGGTTTGGGCATGTCCAGTTCTCTGAGCTTCTTGTGGCCCGGGGGATTTTTTAGAAGCATGATCCCACGTTCACATCACATGCAGTGAAAATATTCTTAGGAGGTTGGGTTTTTTTGTGGCCATGTGATACAGATGACGGGCTGTAGCATAAGTATGCTTGCTGTCTTCAGTGAGGGCTCAGTTATAAGGTTGAGTTCTTGTGGTCAGCTGTGTACAGTATGTGCCCAGCTTACTGCTCCATCTGTGAGCAGTAAAACATGACATTCCATGGCCACGTTACCCCAAGAAACAACTAATTCAAACAAATGTGTTGTTTGAATATAAATTGTTTCTATGCAATATAATGCAACCATAAAAAAGAGATATAAAGACTAGAAAGCTGATGCCTTTCACTTGGCATTCCTTATTTCAGACAGAAGTATTGTAGGTTGGTTTGTTTTCTAGACATAGAGAAGGTATGAAAAGGCCCAAAATGATAAGGCATAATCAACCAGAAATTCAAGACACACCCTGTGTACTGTTTCCCTGTGGAGAAAGAGGTAGTAAAGTTGAAAAAACTCATGTGGTTTAAGTCATCCTACAGATATACTGCTATATATAACTACAGATTTAATGAGTGCTCAGTGTTTGTTCATTTTCAATCAGTAGAGTTTAGGGAAATTTTTTTAAAGAGAACTATCAAACAAGACTTTTTTATGCCAATAATACAGTTTCTCACATGTGCAGCAGCAATCACGCTGAGGATTTGTCCATAATAAATCAAACACAACAGAATTGTTGTAACCATAGCTCCAGAATTTCCTGGAAATAATTTCAAGGGGGGAAAAAAAAAGAAATATTTGGCATAACAAAGGTCATCATTTTAAAATCCTGAGAAAAAAACATACACAAGCCCAAACCATTAGGATAAAAAAAACAAAACAACAAACAAATTCACAAGGGAGGGTCCTCGGGGTCAGAACCATCAGCTGCTTAAAGTGCATATGGACAGCTTTCTCCATCCACATTGTGGAGGAAAAAAAACAGGATTAAATGAGCTGCCCTACAAAAGCACCATATGTTGTATGAATATTTCTGCTGCTTTACCACCTGGGCAATGTGAAGGTAGGTTTCTCACTGGTATGGGGAGCAGATAGCCCATGCTGAACTACTGCTCAGCACAGACCAAAGCCTGAGGAGACGTGCAAAAGTGCCTATTGGTTATCCATGGTACCGTATGCTGGAGAGGAGGTCTCAGCACTGCTTGTTGCTGAGCTTCCTTCTGGCCATTTTCTCTGGATCTTGGCCAGAGTTTCCCTGTCGTACCTTGACTGTGTCCCAATGGCATGGATGGGAATGCATGAGCCCACACTGGGGTTGCAGTTGGGTCTTACAGCTTTGAGGCAAGACACGCAAGTGCTGGAAGACCAAGAGGTTGCAACACTTGCTGAAGATGGTTATATAGGGAGAATAATTAATCTGCACTACTAAAGCTAATAAAAATCCATAGTGACCCAGAATTTATTTTAACTAGGAACATTTTGATGGTTTGCTCCCTGTTGTGTCCCCACTTACCACCCACTGTAAACTCAGAATAAGCTGAAGAAAGTTATCAACAGCTGCCTTTTACTCCCAAAGGGCAGTGGTTTCTGTATAGCACCAATGTATGCTCCTGCAGCTGCGTGGATGGGCTGAGGAAACCAACAGGCTTGGGTCTTACATGAAAGCCCATCAGGGCCAGCACCTGCACTTACAGCTTTTTGTCCCTGGTAACACTTAAATAACTCATTAAAAACACATGAAACCCCTATCACCCCATCCCTGCACTGGATATTGCACAAGAATATTTAAATACCGTATAAACAAGTCATCTCCAGATGGAAAATTCTATTGGCAGAGAGAGTAGAGTTCAGCTTGGCATGTACTGGAGCAGCTTCTGGTGGCACTCCTGCCAAGCCTGCCTGCAGCTCGTTGAGTCACAAAGGAAACAGGTGAAGCTAGAGGAGAGGAACTGAGAGACTTTCTGTGGCTGTGAATTTTTTTTTTGGGTGATAAAGGCCATCCAGTCCCCTGTGAAGGTCAGAGTCAGCTGGGAACAGACTGCTTCATGAGTGCCCACGGGAGCCCAGCTGTCCCATTTTCAAGACTTTTGCTGCTTCAGCCGTTCCAACGCCAGTATTCTGGGTGAGATGGAAAATGGGGAAAAGATAGAGGGGTGAACACTGATGAAAGAGCAAATGCTGCCCCCTCCCTCTCCCACAGCTGATGTGACAGAAGGTCAGGGGAAGCCTGTCTCAGTTCACATGAATTCACACCATAAAGCATAACGTGGGAAACTCTCACCCCAGGAACACAATGAAGTTCATGTGTTTTTTCCCAATTTTTACAGCTCTAAAAAGTTTACAAGTATGTTGTCAGCTGGGGACAGCACCTATTCCATGGTCTGTGGAGTGGATGTGTTTGTGTCAAGAGGCCCAGCTTGCAGGGTGATGAGCTCAGCAACTCAAAGTCCCTTATTATGACACATTCAGGAAACATGCTCTGCAGGGAAAGCATCTCCTTAGCCATGGCTAGAGAGGCTGGAGACTGTTTCTCTTCCTTACAGAGGTACTCAAGCCTTGTGCGGACCTTCCTGTTTTGCTGCTCTTCACTTACCATTCTGGGTCACACCCCCTCATTGCCCTGCTCACATGTCTGAGGAGGTGTTCAGGGATGTGGAGGACTGAATTAACTGTTGTGCACAACCTATTAAATTCTTAATCAGGAACAGCGAAAAACAGAGGCCCCTGCAATAAAGGCAACCAAACCAACAGTCTTTCCACAGCTGTGCATGAAGGTGTTTTGCCATATGACAGCCAGGTTAGTCCCTTCAAGAGTAGTTTGATAGCTGGTGGTGAGGGGACACAGCTGAGCCTCCCATCACCACACTGAGTGCCTACCTCTGCCACAGGCTGGAGTCGTCCTGGGGTTCTGGGGTGTGCCGGAGGTAACGAGAGGGCAGAGCTGTTCCCTGGCCAGGCTCTGGGTCTGGCTGGGACAGGATTAGCTGGTAAAGCTCTTTGGGGTGGCCGAGGCCTAGAAATATCCTATGGAAGAAAGAAACAATTTTGAATTCTCAGCCCAGAGAGACACCTGGCCTGAAAATAGAACTAGAATTTTTTATTTTTTGTTATCTGAGACAGCAGATTGGGTATGCAGCTGCACACCTCCATGTCTCTGGTTTGGCATTAGTCCCAGGGACACTACAGTCTAATGGCTGCATGATGAAAAGCAGGAAAAACCTTACAGACTGGGCAAGAGTCCCCATCACAACCCTCTCTGTAGCACCCCTGCTTGGTCCAAAGGACTGAAGGGATCCTGGCAAAACCATGCTCTCAAAGACCTCTCCCTCTTGCAAGCAAGGAGGGGGGACACAGGTGTCTGCTGCTATTGCTTATTGTATTAAGTAGGTGATTAGTGGTTTACAGCAAGTTTTTCCTCTTGTTGAGTCTCATGAAGGCTGCATGGGCCTTAGGCTGCTGGGCAGCTGGCTTCAAACTGAGGACAATCAAACAGGATAAAAGGGGTTCTTTGCACTGCCTCCTAAATGGAGCCATGGGCTGAAAGTACATCATATTCTAGCTACTTATTTTTAAGCTTTGAATTTTGCAAGTAATAGGGAAGCTATGTTCTACAGCTTTCTAATTAGCCACATTATTGATGCACTAAAGGTTGGAAGCAAGTTTCACACACACACACACACTATGTGATTGCCCATATAATGCCTGTAAACCCTATATACACGTATCTACGTGTGTCCATGCAAACACAGCCCTGCACCCACCTACAATCAGTTATTCCTTTGTTTGTGCACACAACTGTCCCTAATGGGATACTCAGAGCATTATATTCTCCATTTGCCTAATGAATTTCAGTGTAAAGCATGTCCCCGGGGAAAAATTACCCCCACCTGCTGGCTGTTGCTCAGTCTCTGTGTTGTTGCTGCCTTACAGGTGTTGATTTAACAAACACAGCTGCACTCACAGCTTGGAGGGCACCCAAAACCCCTGCAGTCTTCTTAGACTGTGCACGATGGCTGCAACAGCCGAAGCTTGGGGATCTAGTGCTCTCCAGGGACCTTGCCCTGTGGCTGCAGGAAGGACAAGCCAGACTAAATCCCACCAACAGCAGGGTCGAAAGAGCTCCTATAGGAATAGCAAGAGAGCAAATCTGGCAGACACTTCAAACATCTAGGAAGGGACTGACACTAGCAAACAGTGAAATTAATGACTTCCTCTTTACCTTCTACATCTTGTGACTCTCCTCCAACTCAGAAACGGTAAGGGTTATTTTGGAAATCCTAGCAGAATTGTCCCATCTAGTAGGTCAGACTGGTGTAAAGAGACTGGATGCATTGAGGGGAAACACAATGGAGATTGTGGGGACCTTGTCAACAACCAGCTGGGAAGGATACCTATTCCTTCTTGACTACAGTCAGCTTCCTTCTTTTGTTTTAGTTTTCTTTCCTGTTTTTTTTTGAACAATGGAGCTAGAAACATATCCCATTCACTAAAATATTTTGGTTTTGTTTTCCTCTGTATCCTTCAGAGAGAAACTGCCTCCTGCCATTCCCTGTAACTGAGCCCTTGGCTTCTTTGCTGGCCCAAGCCTAATCAAACTAGTATGGAAATACTTTAGCAAAATGAGTTTAAGTTTGTCTAAGTGATTTGCCATCTTTTCCATAAGAATGTGGGGTCTGTACTAAACTTAGAAAAAAACTGCCAGCAAGAGAAGTAAGTCAATACCCTTTCCTCACAATCTAAAAATAAGCTGATGGCAAGGATGCTCATATAAGATGGGGTCAATCTGGGTTAGGTCTAATGTTCCCTATGCAACATATTAGAAGTCCCATTTCTGCTCCGCATCAAAATTTGTCTGAGGCTTCCAAGACCTTCGTCCAACCAAATGCAAAATACCTGAGAGGTCATCCCCTGAGGTGGGGAATGGAGATCTAGTACTCAGTACTGAACCTCAGACTGGTCATCTCATAAAGGCTTGTTTCCAGGAGATAAAACATATCCAAATGGTAAGAGAAGCTTTGCTAGGCTTATGCAGGAAAAATTCTGTACAGCCCTTTTGTTCTTGGCAAATCATGTATTTGATTTGCAGCTAAAAAATGTACAGATGACCTTGGGAAATTGAATGCTGCTTTGAGATCTAAGCTACCTGATTTCAAGTTCAGGTTAAAGGCAGCAAGGACCTGAATTAAGAGCAATTGTGAATTGTGAATGCCAGTGTCCAGCAAGGTTATTGTCAGCTACACTACAAAGCAAGGAAGACCACCTGTAATTGTCCTGCGGGGAGATGGAGTGTACACAAGTGAGCATGGTAACTCCTACACCCCAGCAGGGTTAGAGAGCCTCACTCAGAACAAATCTCCCATCAAACTGCATCTGCAGGACAGTGGAGCAACTCCCTACCTGAGAGACGGGGGGTCTGGGAGCAGGAGGTGCTGGCCGGCTCGGGGGTGTCCTCCGGGCGATGTCCCTTGCTGGTGGGGGCTGTGCTGGCCTGGTGGGCTGCCCCACACCACAGCTGTACCCAGCAGAGAAGGCAGGTGGCTGCTGCATGTTCATTTGGAGCCCTGGAGCTTGCTGGGGAGGAGGTTTCAATGGGATTTCAGGGAAGCCAATCACCTGTGCAAAAGATCCATAAATCCCAGGAGTTAGGTACTTCTGCTTCAAACCACCTTTTTACGCTCTGCTACAATTTTGAGGATCTTCATGTGGTCTTTGAGCCACACAGTAGGACGTATCAGTGTGTGTTGTTTATGTCTAGTAGGTATTGATTAGATAGACCGGGACAATTATGAGGCAGAAATGAGAACCAAGAGAACACAGTGACTCAAAGATTATCATTATAATTGACATTTGCAAATAAACAAGCATTTGCGATTGCTACAGTTTTGAAAGAGGGATTTGACAGAAGAGGCTCTACCAGGAGAGGCAAGAGGCCACACAGGCCTGGTCAAATCCCAACTCCTACCTTTGGGGAAATGGATAGAAATAGATGCTACATTCAGCTCCCACTGACTTTCAGCCATGGGGGATGTCTGTCTGTTTTTCCCATCCTTTGGTAAATCCACTCTCTAATTGCTGTGTGAGAGGGAACTACATCCTGTATCTCAGGGCAGCTGCATCTCTGCCCTGGGAGGTGGAAGGTGGCCTTGCCCCTACCTTCCTCTGCTCCTGGGGGGTTTTCAACTTGAAGGCAGGGTTTGCATGCCCATTTCCAGAAGTGTCACTGACAGTGAGAGAAAGAAAAGACTGTTACTTCCTTGATACATTTTCTCCTTTTTCTTTGCTGTACATTCCATTACATTTTAACTGAAGTAAAAAAATGAGAAGCAAATACTGACTAGACCAACACACCCATTTTGTTACATTCCTCACAGCCTTTGCAGCTTATCTTCTGTCCTGACACTGAAAGGGGGTAGATTCAAGTAGGCAAAGTGCAGCACTAACAATTTACCTGAATTGTGGTGTCTTCTTCAGAGAACAGATGGAAAATTTATTCCAGCATTTCAGATAATGGAATAAAAACATTATTCCAATTAGAAAGAGAATAGGAGCCAGGATTGCTAGAGTTATCACGCCTGCTGAAGGGCCTGAGGGCAAGAAAGTGGAGTTAGTTAAATGGAAAACTCTTTGCTCCCAAGATAGCTTCAGTCTTTCTGAAGTGCCACCACAGTAGAGTTGGTCCAACTCACCTTCAGGCATGGGAGGACCACTATCCAAACTTCCCCCCCTTCCCAGCTTGTTGCAAAATGGGGGGGCCCACCCCTGGTTGCAGTGGCAGTTCTTGTTATTATTGCACACCTGAAGGGGGAAGACTCAGAGACTTTAGTGAGAGTTCCTAAAGAATCTACAAGATGAAAACACATTAAGCCCTTGCTGGATAAAACACTGCAGAAAAAATCTTATTGGCACAAATAGGGAGTTAAGCGCCTGGCAACACTTTCCTATTGGGGAGTGAATGTGACTTTTCTTTCTCAAAAAGACAAGGGTTCTTAAGCTGAAGTGCCACTAAGCAATATTTAGAAATATCTTTCTCTTGTTCTTACCTCTAAACTGAAGGATACGACTCTTCCTTTCCATACAGTGAAGATTTCTTCCTGTTTCTTACTGTTTAAATTTACTACTTGGCCCATTGCTATTTGTTTTATCATCTAGGCAGCCCTCTGTTTAGGGATGTCCTATGCTAATTGTAGCATTTAATTTGATGCTGTGGAATAGTTGGTAATAATTACCTACAGCGTCATGAATTGTAAGAAATGAAGCAGACTGGGAATGAAAGCTTGGGGTGAGTCCCTCTCCTTGACAGGTACATCATGGAGCCTCACAGGCTGCTCAGGGAAGCACACCTTGCTACACACTGCTGTATTTATCACTCCTGTCAATCGTCTAACTGGACCATGGAACTGGAGAAATGCTGTTTTGCATCAGAAACATCAGAAAAAGGTATAAAAAATTCTCATTAGCTGTTTCTTTCCATCTCTTGGGGACACAACAGAGCACAGTTTGGGATAAACTATTCTAAACATAACTTTTTACCATGTTTTTCCCTCAGTGAGTCTGTTTTGGTTGTTGTTTTTTTTTAATTCAATATAAACTGGGCCCAAAAGGGTGTGGGTTTTTTTTGTAACATTACCCCTTTTTGTTTTTCATTCATTGCAATTCATATCCCTTCTGTAAACCTCTTTAAATCCTATGTCAAAGAGACACTCTCAGACCAGAAAATGCATAAAACAGAAAGGAACATGCAAAACAATAATCAAGAAGAAGAACTACTGAGCTGAACAACCATCCACAAATGAATGGCAGCCCATCCTGTTCAGTCTGAAATGGAGGTGAAAAGGAAGACACCTACCCCATGCCCGTGGCACTTCTTGCTACAGCTTTCAGAATCAAAGATGATGGACGTGTTCTGGCAGCGTCCCTCAAAGCAAACCTAGAGATCCAAAAACTCAGCCTTAGGTCTTCGGGTTATATGCCATGTTACTGCCTTGTGTTATTTTGTGACTTGTGGGGTCCCAGACAACAATACAAGTAATACCCCGGGCAAGAGCAACAGACCATGAAGCTATACTTGTTCCCAAGGACATTTAATCACTAACCTTAATCACATGTCAGAGAGAGGAGTGGGAACTCAGAAGTTGATAGCTTGGCCATGCCCATGTGGCAAGACTCTGAAGTTCTCAGGTGTCTTGACTTCTAATTGTCTCACCTCTATGCAAGATAACCTCAAGCAACTAGCAAATCCCAGATTTAGCACTGGCCCTGGACTTCATCTGGCAAAGGCTTAAGGTAGGGCCTTTGGTGTGTATTCTTCCATCGCTTCTCAGAAACCTCTAAGAAATTATTTTTCTAACATAAAAATCCCCTAGAAAGGCATAAGACAGCAGAAATGAATGGCTTGATAACCACAAAGAACTTTCCAGATGGAAAAGTCATACCCTGAGCCTCCCACAAGCCTTTACAGGCAGGAGTCTACCTACATGATGGCTGCCACACTTTGTTCCTGTCAACACCAAGCCAGGATCCAGCATCTCCTTTTCCTCACTCTCTGATCGGTACACGTGGGTCCCTCGGCACCTCAGCTCTGTCCTCTGCGTGCGGAGAGTTGTATCGATGGCCACTGCGTTGGACTGCAGGGGTTTGGAAGCAGAGCTCTGGCACTGGATCTTCCCACATTTAGCATCTCTGTTTTCAATGGAAAGGATAAAGTGATTATTTTTGGCTTGCTGGATGTTTTGAGGGCATCAGCTCCACATGGAAATTAAAGCAGCAGCATTGAGTCATTGTTCAGTAGCAAGAGCATGCACCTCCCAAGAGCTGCCCCAAGCAACAGCATCTGGTGGGTACTGATGGTACCATTTCACTGTCCCCATGGGTAGGCCAGCATCAATACAATCACAGATGAGATTAGGAAGGTTTTGACTCAGCTAAAAAGTTACATTTAACTTACAGATTTGAAAACCCCCTTTTCTGTTGCTTTGAAAAAATATCAACTAGATGCTTTATAATGCAGAAGGCAGGGAAAGTGGTAAATTTAAACCTTCAGACATAAGATCTCTCTCTAAATCTGACAAGGATGCAGCTGGTTTCCCAGAATGCAGGAGTGGAACCAAAGCATGGATCAGTTTTATCTACTGGCCCATAATTTCATAATACATAAAAACAGTTTCTCCAATGAGCAACCCTTGGCTGCCACTCTGCTTTCTACCTCATCTCGCACTTCCTGTAGTTGCCATAGATATCCTTCCCGCAGTTCCCGTAGATGTCTCCAGCAGCATTAACCTTCTCGAAGCAGGCATCTGGTGCTGGCCTTGCTCCTGCATGGAAGAGACTCACGTGGCTGATTCCTGTGGAGCCTGGCAGTCCATGCTGACCACTTGTTCTTTTGCTAGGATGGGTTGAGCACAGGAAATTTTGGTGCCTCCTCTAAGCGAGCAAGGCAGGAGAAAAGGCTCCCCAGGCTTTGCTACTGATAATGGGTATGGAAGGTACTACTGCCTTGCACAGGTGAATAACAGCAGGATGCCATACAATACTTCCTGTTCAAAGGGCAACGTATTTCACTGCAAGTGGTGTCCTTACCAGGCCCCCACAGCTGCAAGCACTGGTCCTTATAGGTGAGACACATGCCACTGTAGCAATAGGCCTTTCCTCCATCGCAGGAAGCCCCATCGATTTGGTAAGAGTTGGGAGGGCAAAACGGTGACTCGCCAGTGCAGTATTCTGGCAGGTCACAGAGTCCTGACCTTTCCCTGCAGGGAGTTCCTGGAGACATCAGCTAAAAAAATACAAAGGTGGAAAAAACTGAGCTATTGCTTGGCTCCTCTGTGGTTTTGTGTCTGACTGTGTTTGCTCCCCTTTCCCCTTCATTTTTTAGCCTCACAATTCCACCACCACCATTCCCTCTCCTTTTCTCCCAGGAAGCCCCAGAGGTCCCACCTTGCACTGATGACAGCAGCTTCCATGGGCACATTCAGCACCCAGCTTGAGGGAGCAGGTGCTGGCATTGCAGCAGGGGTTGTTGCATTCCTGGAAGACAGTGAGATGCAGCAGAGTTTACTAAGCAGATGCTCAGGAGAAGAACATGCAAGAGCACTGAAGTGTAAGGCTGACACTAGTCTGTTCTCCTACATGAGAAATTACATGCAAAGTAACAGCCCTCTTTCCACAGGATGTTACTGATACCCAGCATGTGCTGAGCTACAGCAGGGCATAATTGTACCCTCTGTTGGACTGACTGGATACTATAGGCTGTGCTCATTCCATCTGATGAGTCTGGGCTGCTTATTCCAGATCCTTTTTGTCTTCTTAGTAAAAGTATGAATTTGGAGAAGTGACATGCAGTTCTAAGAGAAGCTCCATCCTTACCAAGAATGGAGCTGTAAAGTGAATTTACATATGGAACTGCAACATCTAACATCACTTTTTCTCTTCTTTTTTAGAAGATTGCATCACTTCTGTTCAATCATAGATTACATCATCCCTAAGTTCTGGGATGCACTGTACTTTGCACTGTAATTTTAGTTAGACATGATACTTTACAACCTTGATTTACATTGCATATACATTTATATTTACCCTCTGTTGGACTGACTGGATACTATAGGCTGTGCTCATTCCATCTGATGAGTCTGGGCTGCTTATTCCAGATCCTTTTTGTCTTCTTAGTAAAAGTATGAATTTGGAGAAGTGACATGCAGTTCTAAGAGAAGCTCCATCCTTACCAAGAATGGAGCTGTAAAGTGAATTTACATATGGAACTGCAACATCTAACATCACTTTTTCTCTTCTTTTTTAGAAGATTGCATCACTTCTGTTCAATCATAGATTACATCATCCCTAAGTTCTGGGATGCACTGTACTTTGCACTGTAATTTTAGTTAGACATGATACTTTACAACCTTGATTTACATTGCATATACATTTATATTCAGGGAAGGTATGCCTATCTTCTGAAAAAAAAACACTAAGCTGTTTACACACACATAACTGTGTTTGTAAAACACATAATAAAATCATTGTACCCCACTAAACCCCAAATGGTTGGATCTGAACAATTGTTACCTCTACCTCTCCACAGTCACACTCCTCCCCCTCTTCCAAGTAGCCATTTCCACATTTCCTCCCACCATACATTTTTTTGGTATCCGGCATATTGGAGAGACACATCCCTCCACCAGACTGCAGATACTTCTCCAGCTCTTTTCTATTGCACTGGTTGAACACCTTGGGGAATGGGTGCCTGAACAAAGACAGTGTAAAAAAACATCATAACAGATCTGGGCAATGGTTTATAGAACCAAAAATGAGTATATGCAAATCCTTACAAGTGCCAAAGGGCATGGTTCTCTCTCTCTGAAGTCTATGGAATTGTGCTAAAGCAAATAGTGATTTTGTGTGCCTGTTTAAAATCAGACCCATCTGGATTACATTTGAAAATAAGGTGAGATTGCACTACAAGACTGTCTAGCAATATAACAGCCTTAAAAATAAACTTTATGTAAATAGAATATGTTAAGTTAGATTGGACTTTGAGAGCTGAAAAGTAGGGCTGTCATTACCTGCTCAATACTGAAGCTTGGGCAAGCCTAAGAATCTAAATCTGAGAATCACTTGGACTGTGAATAACTGCTTGTGAATCTAACTGATAAAAATAACGTCTCGTTTTTCCTATCTACTGCCTCATTGCAAAGGATGTGAATATTTCATGTTACATGAATTATTAACTTATACTGCTACAATGCTTGAACCTATGCACTCTCTATATGACTGTGCATGTGTGTGTACATGTTGTGTGTTGGACATTTTATTCACATGTCTGTATGTTTTCACTTCTTCATTATTTGGAGGAAATCATAAAAGAAGGTATCTGTGAAATCCCTAGGAGAAAGGCTTGAGGAAACAGGGAGTGTGTTTTTTAGTGAATGGGTTTTGCTGATGTTTTTACGTGACTGAAATATGGAAGTTGTTGAGGTTCCTCATCCACAATGAGCTCTGAAATCCCTGTGAGTTTCCAGAGTTGCTCTCACTTCCCCTTTCTCCTAAAGCCAGCTACTTATTCCTTTTTAAACACAAGCTCTCTCTGGCTGACTGAATCCAAGCAGCATTCTTAAGACAATATGTAGTCAATCAGTTTTCATGTCTTCTGACTTAGAAATACAGCCCTATCACTGTGCCTTTAAATAAAGTTGATTCTTCCCTGAAGCAATTCTTTTTCCCTCTTGTTACCACACATTATCTTTTGTACATGATACTTTAGAAGCCCTGTTAACTCTCTATCTACTCATCTCTTGCAACACAGACATGACACCCACGTAGACCTCTACATGGCAAAGTCACACATGTTCTGGTCACCCCTCATTCCTCTGTACTTGCTGGAAACAGGCGGTCCAGGTTTTGCAGAAGGATGTGTGTGCATACAGGCATTGAACTTGCTTTGGGGTGGTGGATCATTGATATGACACAGTGGGAAGCACAAACTCAGAGATGAGGGGTTAGAGGGGTCCTGAGACAGTCCCACAGGATAGAAGAGAGAAAAATTTTCCTTTTTACCAGACAGTTCAGAGCTCACTTCTAAATGCTGCCAGATCGCTACATTACCAAAGGAAAATCTCAAGCAGGAATAAGCTCATTGGGAATTTAGCAAATTGCTACTGATACATGAGCCAGGGTTTGCCCAGAAGTGTTTTCTCTATAAACACACTGGCTCAAATGGGCAGCAAATCAACCCACCTGCAGTCTGCATTTCTAGCTCTTAACTCCACCAAAGCTCTTGTAACAAAGCCATTTGCACTTCTCCATGACACCCTGTATGACAAACTCACCCAGTTGCAGAAGCCATGATGCAGCCTCCATCTTCTGCAGGGGTAGTACAGCAGCCAGCAGAATCATGATTCATGCCAAAATTGTGTCCCATCTCATGGGCAATGGTAGCAGCAACACCAATGGCATTATCAGAGTGATCCTATACAAGGTCAAAGAAGCACATCAGCATTTTACCTGTGCCTGTCCTGTGCACTTCTGAGTCAATGGGCTAAGTAGCACTTCTCATTACTACATGTAGAAAACATCTCCTGAAGGTATTCCTGCCTATGATTAGGTTAGACAGAGGCCTTCATGGGAAATATTTTCCTCCTTGGCTTTAGGAGGCATCTATCTTATGCATTCACTGCTGGCAAGAAGCATCCTTATTAGGTATTTGCAATTACTTACCATGTTTACTCCTCCTGACTGGAAATCAGAGCACATGGCCATCACGGGAGCCAAGCCTACTGTGGTACCTTGGAAGGCCACACCCCTAAAATCAACCCAGAAAGACCATAAAATGGCACCAAGGCACCTGAGAAGGCAGGACAGAGAAATGCATCCTGCAGTTCACCACTCTATACATACACACAGTGTGAGGTGAATACATTTTCTTTAGCAATATCTTCAAGGACAGGGCTCTATCACAGAGCTATAAATAATTAAGACCTGTCTTTCTTTGACTACTGCATTGTTTTATGGGCCAACCAGCCAATTCTAGTTTTTATAATCTTCTGCTGACAAAAAAAATGTTCTCCCTGAGCTTTGCAACAAGCACAGAAAAGATTATTTCTGGATCCTTAGTTGGGTGCTATTTTGGATATTTAATTTACCTTAAGCCTGCTATTTGCCAGCTTGGATTTCAGGGACCTGACAGAATACTAGATAACACCTCTGAGGTGCAGCCTCAAGATCCAACTGTCAAGCTGGAATTCTGCACTGTCCTATCTGAAATGGGAGCCTTTTAAATTCTGCTCAGGACATGAGTAGGTGAAGGTGAAATAGAGTAATGTTAAACGGAAAAAAATCCCAACCAAAACAAGGGAAAAGGCAATGCATCCTTGCATTTCAGTCCTCCAGGCTTGTCCTCTGACTCACCACTGTTTACTGGAGGATGAATTACTATGGGAGAGATAAGGAGGTCTAAGAGGTGCTGCAAATTTTTCTTCCAATGACATCTGCACTGCTGGCCATAGCAACTGGGCCTAATAAGATCAGCTGGATGAGTCACAGATCATCAACCAGCTCCCAGCACCATGTCCCCTGTGTCTCAGCAGGATAAGTTAGGAATGAAAGGCTAGGTCTTCTGCAAAGGGCCTAGGTTCTTCTTACAGGTCTTGCTTATGGTTCAGATTTTCTTGAAACTGTGTAAGTAGCTGTAGCTGATCATGTGAAGCTGCTTGTGATACACACAAGCAATAAAGCTGATGCACTTCGGCATACGTGTACTGAGACTGCTCCACAGCCTGGGACCTCCACTTCTCCTGGAATGGTTTGTGCTCTGGCTGCCTAAGCTGAATGCTGGCTGAGCACTACATAAATCTGCCACTCTGAATCTTAGAATGTCATCTTACAGACTGATTTCTCAGCCCCCAAACCCACTTGTCAGAAATGTGAGAAATAAACCTACGTGATTAGTTGAGCATTATCGTGTTTTCTTTGCACCCTCTCCTTGCTACTCCAGGCCAGAAAGGACTTCAGAGTGGAGTAGGGATTCTCAGATACATCACATTTATTCCAATTACTCCAGATCTCCAGCCCCACCAAAGCAATCCGGATATTCAGGGATCTGTAAAACTAAGATATGAGAAGGTAAAGACATAACAAAATAAGCATCACTAATTTAGTTTACTACGTTTTTAATCTTGTGTATAAACCCAGCTATATGCACATGCCCAGAGAAGATGCTCTCTCTGGAAACACACTGCAACTTAGCACCACAGCTCTGCAGAGAGAAATGTGCAACACCCACAAACCTGAACTCAAGTGAACTAGGGATGCTGGACTTTCATTTTAAATTAATGACAGAGAGATAATTTAGAGAAAGAAAGACTGGAGATTGAGGTTGTGGTTATCTTTAGATATGTCAACATTCCTGAAAAGAGGAAGGAAATAATCTGCTGCTCACATCAAGGACAAACATAGTAAGTCTTCATGGGTGGGGGGGTGAAAGGAGTGGTAGAAAGAGTTTAAAGCAAGAAGGGAAGTATGAAGGGAGTGGATCTGTACCTGACGTTCAACAACAGAATTGTCTGTCAGATGCTCTACACTCCCCAAGTCACTGGGGAGACTTGGCAAAACATTCTCCTCTCTCTCAAGAAATCAATCTTCCTCTATCACAATTAATGATCATCAGTCATTATTTGGACTTTGCTTGCATCAGTTTCTGCACACCTTATCTCACCTTATCGACATAATTAGCAGCCTCCACTAATTTAAGCCTTGTTGCTTCAATGTTGAAGTGATGCTTCTGAAACTGAACAAAATGAACACATCAGACAGCACAAAGGCAACTGGAAAGAGCTGAAATGTGTTAAAACAATCCACATTACTGTTGGAATAATAAGGTAACTATCAGGTAAATCCCAAAAACCTTCTTCTACTGAAGGAGACAGTCAAGTAAGTGCAGTTCATGACACTGAGGCTACCCCAGCTTGTCTGATGAACTAGTGAACAACATATGGCAGTTCCTGGGTATGTGTTTTTTCATAGTTTCCCTGGTATCCTGCTGCCTAATAGAGAAACCAAAACAGGTTTTGCCTCTTTAGTTTTGCTCAGAATAAATTATAGCCCGGAGCACTATGTGGCTTTCTCTGTCCAAGTTTCAAGCTGTAAATTATGAATAGGACCAGCCTGATTCCCATCTGTGCTGGAAACTGAATGATCAGCAAAACACTGAGTGGTTTGCACTGTTGGTCTGGTGTGCTGTCCAGGCTAGGGATGGGGAAAGGATTGCTGACTTCACTGGGTCTCTTCCAGCCCTATTCTATGATGTGGAGCCTTGAAAATGTCTATTTATATATCTGCTATCGGCTCAGAGCAGAGGATAATCAGGGTTATCTTCTCTAGAGATTAAGTGTACTGCAGACTTATAAGCACATCATTCCTGGAAACCCCCAAGCCACCCTGGGTTGAAGACAGTCACTCCCATCGATAACCAGGACTGGTCACTGGTACCCTGGGAGGCAAGAACTGACCCCCAGCCCTAGTCTTTCAAATAAATCGCAAGCTACCACTCTCCCCTGGGCAGCAATGACAGCAGAGCCATGACACTGGCAGCAGAGGGGTCATGGCTGCTAGGACAGAAGGTACCAAGTCACAGCTTTCATTGTCTGCTAGTGGGGTAGGACCACTGGAATGGCAAGAGGAAACCTGGTGAGGTCCAGCTTTCCTCCCTGCCCCAGGTGGGATACTCGCTCTGGGCTGAGTGCTCAGTTGGCATAAACGTGATCCCTCGTCTTACCTCCGCATAATCAGCCACCAGCAGAAGCTCCACGTACTTTGCAGTCTGCAGAGTCTCTCGTTTCACCTGAGGCAGTGGTAGCACAGGTTACTTTCCCAGAACCCCCAAAAAATTCTTCACAAAACATATGTGCAGGCCATTTTTCCCAGGTTTGTTTGTTTTTTTTTTCCCTGGCCATACCCCTCACCCCATCACACACAGGGACCTTCAGATGTGATTGACTTACAACAACCAAGTATCACAAGTGAGTTTAGCTACAGCAAGTGCCTGTGTGCTTGTCCTCAGCCCACCTGTTTATTCATGTACAAATCTGTGCAGGAACAGCTCCAGCTCAGATTCCTTATGCTACACAATAGCCCCCAACACTCATTTATTTCCCTATTGGAGCCACTATTTGGCAACCAGCTTGCTACAAACCCTCTTAAATATTTTTCATTTCACTTTGAGCTGTGCTCCCTGATAATAGCAGGCTACTCAGGATTGGAACAGGTGGGAAATTTCATAGAATTGTAGAATCGGATAGACCTAGTTTAAGCCCTGCTCACCCTCTGGTGAGGTGGTTTCATCCCAGTTGTGAAGTCCCTGAACCAGTCCTCAGATGCATCCCTGGTGCCCTGGTAGCCACAGGCTCCTTTCTGCAACCTCAGGTCATCCAGCCTGTAGATCCAGTGCTGGTTTGGGCTGTCGGGAACTGGCTCTAAGATATAGCTGGAATTGCTGCTCAATACGATAAGTCCTCTGATGAAACAGGAAGCAATAAGAGGGAAAGTTAATTACTATCACAGCAACGGGAGACAAATCCTTCTTCTGCTGCAGAGTACCCATCTGACCCTAGCAAGGCACTTATCTTTACCAGGCCATACAGTTCATTAATAAAAAGGATGGGGACATTTTGAGTTTAGATCCGGGAATCCCTGAGCTTGTATATATTAAAATCTATTTAATGGGCCTCAGACATTAAATTAAGGGGCTATTGGAACATATGTTGCAACAGCACTAACCTGAGAAGTACTGATTTTTTAAAGTACAGCTCTTCCTTTAGGAGCAATGGAAGCTTTTCAATAGATTAAAGAAATTTGTCTTTAACACACCTGACCTAAAAGATATGTACACTTTGTTTGTCACAGAAAAAAAAAAAAACAACAAACAACCAACCAGTTCTCTCTGGGCCTTGCATGTGGCTGTACAGTTCTGGTTTTCCCAGTGAGCATGTTATAGCTGGAAATCTCGTTTGATGCCCACTGGAAGGTGTAAGGCTTGACAAGCAGCACACTGCCTTGAGATGGCTCAGGATAAAAACAGCCATGTGTGCTCAGCTTCTGTGCCTTCCTGGCAATTAGAAAATTATGTCAAGGAGCTGCCAGCACACCTCTGACAGCACAGACATGCAGGAGTGCTTAGCACATCTGCACACCAAGGAGATACTGCTGTTTCCTCTGCAGCTAGGAAGGCAGAGCCTAGGAAAATGCAGGCTGACAGAAGCGAGCCCACCTGTGACTACTTTTGCTTTTGGATTATTTATTGCAAACAACAGGTGGCTGCATTGTCCTGTTTATCTCACTGGGCTCTTTGGCCTGTGATACACTCATTTAAGATGTCCCAGGTTTGCTTTGGCACAGGCTGTTTCCTGGCTGGAGCTGGTTCCATCAGCACAGCTTCCAATCAGCACTTGGGAGCAGATGACCACTAATATCAATAGAGCCCATGTGGTGTTTTGGAAACAAACTGAGCTGGTGCAAATTAATGCAGCTCATTGGTCACAACAAGCCATTTCATTCACTCCTACTGAGCATATAATCCTTCTTGCCAACCCTACCACCACCCAGGGAGAACAGCAGAGTAGGGCTGACATCCCAGGAGGAAGTTCAGACCTGAAGATATTGTCTTAAAATGCACACAAAAACTTGCCAGTTATGAGAAGCTGGAAGAAGAAGGTAGTTTCTGCATTAGAGTATTGGGCTGGTACATGGTGAGTCCTGTCCCTGGAATGGATGCAGCCCCCACTAACAAGAGTCTTTTGCTCCAGTGGACTCTTGAGTTAAACTCACTTTTTACACAAGTCCACATTGCCAGAACAGAAGAGGAAGAACTCTAGGAACTGGCTGGGAGGCCTTGATACCAAAATTTCTGCATTTCCCTCAACATGCTCCCTTTAAGCCCAGGAGCCTTGGATGGGTGGCACCTGAGAACAAGTCTGTCTGCCCAGAAAGAATGAAGAGCAGCACACGGAGGAGCAGAGCAGAGGCATCCCCACAGCTCCGGCACTTACCGCAGGCCTCGGCACGTGCTGAGGGCGACGGTGGAGCTCTCCAGGCCCCTCACTACCCCATGGTAAAAGCAGTGGTCCTGGAAGGCAGAGGGGAGCAGGGTTGGCAAAGCAGTTTCAGGATGGATGGATGTTATATTTAGGCATCACCAGCTCCCGTATCAGTTCTTTCAATACTCCAGCAATTGTTCTCTTTCCCCTGCGCTTGGCCTTTCAGCCGCCACGTGAGGCCTGCATCAAACAGCTACTTGTTGCCAGTGAAAATGAAGCTTTGAATCCCTAAGGAAGTGCAGCACTACGGTCGATGCAAAGCTTCTGCCTGTAACGGGAGCTGCCTGTTGATGGCAGCTGGCCCTGGGTCAGGCCCCAGAGAGGGTGACGCCACGGGCAGCAGGGAAGTCTGGGGGCTCCTGGAAAGACAAAGGCAGCCTCTGGCAGGGACAAGGAGGCTTCGGGGCAGAAACGCCAACATAATCATCACATCCTTTCCCCTCACCCCGGGGCAGTATCAGTAAAGATGATCTCATGGGGGTTTTTATCTCTTATTTTTGCATTGCAACCAATGCAGAGCTTTGTTCCACTGCTGTGGGATCCAGCCAAGGCCTGCGTGAGATCAGCGTTCATGGGGTTTTTACTGAGCAGGAGCCAGCTTATACAGGCTGGTTTTCCCAAAGGCAGGAAATGTCCCCAGTGTGGGTTACCCAATGGCAAAACTAAAAGCAAGAGAATGAGCAGTGGGAGGAATAAAAAATTTCCCAGCACCCCAAGAGAGGGGAATGATGCTAGAACCTGAGCTCTCTTATCAGAGTTCAGGTAAAGCAGGAAGATATTTTTATCACTGCTGGGAGGTGGAGATGCTTTCTTACTGAAGCTCCCCAGGTCAGCAAGCCAGACTGCCCTCCCCCTCAGCTTAAAGCAGACCCCTGACCTTGAGGAAAAGCTCTGGAAAGAAGTCACTTGCTCCCCGGGCCCATGGCCTGGCCAACCCTGCAGACCACGGGAGGGAAGAGCTCCTGCACTCACCGTGTGGGACAGGGGGGTGGTCTGGGGCTGTCCCGTCTGGCTGTAATGAGTCTCAGTGTAGCTTGGTGCAAAGAGGTTTCTGCAGATACACGGAGGGGGAAAGAAAAGAACGGGGCGGGGGGGGAAATAAAAATAGAAAGGGCAATTAAACTTTTCTTTAGACCTGGATTTCAGTTTCCTGGGAGTGTTAGAAAATCAGCTAGACCTGGCTCTTTCTGAAATCAGTGTCAATAATAATCCTGTTGCTGTGAATCATTGTTGTGGACTTGGGGTGGTCACTGTTTGCTCCCTGCAGTGCAAAAGAGATGCAGGCAAGAGACAGGTACATGGGGAACACCAGCTGAAAGCTCTGCTGTATCTCTGCACTCTGATCTGGATCAACACTTTCCTCCTGTGAGGCACTTGTTAACAAGCTGTCCCCAGGGATGCAGCAGCTATTGGCTTCCTAGGAGCCATGAAAGCTGCTGCAGGACCCGTGCTATGGGCTGTGCAGAGCATGCTGTGGTGGCAGAGGGTCAGAAGATGGAAGTCTAGGTGACCTCACCACATCCATCTCTCTGCTGCCCTGGCAGGAGCTGAGCACGTCTCACAAAGCACATCCACTTCCATAAGGCTGCAGTGAGCCATCTTCTTAAGTGCTCTTTCAAGTTATTTATTACATTAAAACAGTAAAGGAGAGCCTGTTACTGAGTTCAATTAGGTTTTGAAATCCAGTTCCAACAGCTGCAAGTGAACAACTCAATTTTTATGTGAAGATTGAAAAAAAAACAAAACAAAACAAAACAAAAAAACCACACACAAAACCAGAAACCAAACATCATCACCATCATACCTTAATGGGTACAAGTTTCTCTGTGGTTTGCTTTACTACCAAGTCCAGTGTGCCAAACCCACAGGGCATTTCAGGACACATGTGGGCACTGATGTGATTTCTCAGTTCAAACCCAAACTCTCTCCAGTGACCCAGTCTGAGCACAATTAGAAACCAGTCTGCATCTGCATTTCAACTTCTGTCCTGCAGCAGATTCACATCCTTGAGATAGGATAATGCTGATTCCCCAATCTGAATTTGTTCATGTCATCCTCATATAGACAATATTATCCCTGTCTTCAGCCCAGGATGAGAACAAAAGCCTATAAAAAGCACTCTTGTGCACTGAATTTTGATTCAGTTCCAGAGGAAACAGCCTTCCCCTTCTATTGAAACATCTGCATTTGCTAAACAGTGATGTAAAAAAGTACAGCAAGTCAAAATCTGGGCCAAACCAAAAAGGTCACATCCTGTGTCCATCTCAGCAGCAGTAAAATGTAGTTTTAAAACATATTTTTTTTTAAACAATGGCTTCACTTCCAAAAATCTGGAGAAGGATCACAGAATATGCCCCATCTATGACACACACTTCTGCAGCAACCCCGCGGTGCTGTCAGGCCACCCAAGGGCCACACTTGCCACACCACGAGATGCCACCAGCACCCTGGGCAGTGCGATGCCAGCAGTGCTGCAGTTCAGTTCCCACATCCTTGTTTAATGCATTTCATGCACCAGATTTTTGTACTATGACCTGCAAGAAAGCAAGCAAGAAAAGGTGGTGGTTTTGTTTTGTTTTGTTTTCTTTCTTGCTTGATTTCTTTAGGCTGGATGAAGGAAACTATCAAGCAAACGTGAAGATTTTTCCACCTTTCTTGGATTTTGGTGTGTGGCAGTCAGGTCTAATCTACCTTGAAAGCCTCTGTTTGAAAAAGGGATGGGTGCTTGTGTTGTCTAATTAAACCAGTCCAAAGCAACAGGAAATGCAACTTTTTATCAGTGTTTCCACGTGTTTGCCCCATCCAGCATCCAAAGACTCAGACACCTGAACAAGTACCAATGATTAGTGTCAGACAAAACTGTGTGCCACTGTTGTATTTAGCAGCATTTGATCTAGGAATACAACAGCTTTTATCTCCACTTTCAAAGTTCACTGTGGCCTGGGAAAGCTCATTTTGTTTCTTTTTGATGTGTTAATTCTAACCACTAGATCCTGTCAGTGATCACAAGGCAAGATTGCTGTGTTCAGCTGTCTCAGGTTTGTAAACTAAAGATAAGCACAGAAGCACCCTCCCCTAGAAAATAACTCCCTTCATCTCCCTGACTGCAGTAGCTGGCTCAACATGAGGCTGCAAGAAACAAATGTTTAATCAGTAGATTGCATTAACTCGCAGGAAATTGCCTTGAGCAATGTGCTCTGGCAGGTATCTGGTCTGTGTTAGAGTCTGTCATCTCCAGAGTAGACACTAAGCCAGTGTGCAACTGCCCAGTGCTACTAGAGCCAGAATTAGACACCAGCCCATGGATTTCCAGTAGCTGAGGCTTGCACAGCCTTCTTGTTCCCAAACAAGCACACTTATGTTTCCCTCCCGCTCCTTTATTCTTGGAAAGCCTTCACTGTGAATAGCTATTTTATCTCTCTTCCAGCATCTACCATAAATCTCCTCAGTGCTTCGACTCCTGCCCAGCCCCACAGTGCTGACCCACAGCCCTGGTGCTGAGCTGGGCCATACTGAGCACCAGAGCCTGACACACTGAATCTCAGGGCACAGGATGATGCCATACAACACAGGTGTGTACACATCTCTCCCTGCCTGCCGAATCAGGCTCTAGCCCCTTCTAGTGTGGATTAAGGATCTGAGATTTCTACCTGAATTTGTAGGGATGTTTTTACAGCTGCCAAGATGTAAGTAGACATCATGTGGCTGAGTGGTGTCATGTCATGACTTTCCAGCCTTTCTCCACCAGTCCACTCCTAGCCTGCATTGTGGACTCCCTATGAACAGTCCAGCTGCTTATTCTGAGCTGAAACAGTTCTTTTTTGAAGACTCTTCCCTGCCTTAACACAGGGGAGCCTTGGGGCTCTTGCAGCACTGCTGAGAAGGGCTATTACAGTGCATTGCAGGGTCTGCGGTGGGGAGGGCAGTGAGGAAAGAGGAAAAACAACAGGACCTCTTGCAACACCCTTGGGGTCCTATCTCACTTTCAGCCTGTGAAAGTTCATTCCCAGTCCAGCTCACTTCCTCAGCTAGCACCAAGCTTTTCACCAAATTGTAAATAAACAGAAAAGAAGCCTTCTTTCCATCTCAGAGTGCGCCAAATTTATCAGCCAGTCTTGTCCCTCTTTTCCACATGTACCAGTTGTTGGATAAACAGGAGAGATTAGCAAGACACACACATACTCCAAAACCTTGGCAATGGCCTTTATCTGCCATCATTTCAGGACAGCATCATTGCCAGGTTGAACAGCTGATTCCAGAGGAGCTCAGCCTTGCAAAGTGCTGACAGACCCGATCCACCAGTGGAGCTGAGAGCTCACCTTGCTAGAGAAGGAAAGCCTGGAAAAAAAAGAGCACAATTTGATCCTTTCTTCTCTCTTACATTATACCTCCCAGCGACGACTCCTCCAGCAGCTCAAGATGAAGCTGCAAAAGTGTGAACACAAAAGGGCACCATTTAAAGGCTTCTGAGGTCCAGGCAGGCAGCTGGCAGATTGCTAGAACACATCATCTTCCTAAAAGGCAGCATGGAGTCCCTCATTAGTGGAGCTATCAGCATGAAGAATTGATGAAGTCAGAGGAAATGCTGGGTTTGGATGGCATTGCTCTCCTTTGCTAAACCTTGATCACAGTTCCAGCCACGTGGGGCTGTTTGAGACCAGGGTAAGCTACACCCAAGCACTCAAAATTATATAGTTAAGTCCTCACACCTTTCTAACAGAGACCAGCTTTCAACAAGATTGGTTGCTCCACAAGATCCAGATCAGCAGCCAGCTCAGGGTGGAATAGTCTGCTCTTGGCAGGATTTGTTCCCCAGAAAGCCTTGAGAGCTGGGTTAAATACAAGCAAGGAAGCCAAACAAAGGAAGAGTGGCTTGGTGCCATAATGTACAGATGGCTTGAGACTGTTTCTGCTGATGACCGATGTGGAGTGATCCTGGTCCCACTCCAGCCTGTCAATGATATCATTGTTTGAAACAAACCCTCCTCCCTGCTCCACTGCTCCCTGGAAGGGCCCCACTGTGCAGAGCTGACATCGCAGGGCCCTGTTCTGGCACATCTGTGTCAAGGGGACACAAGTCGTACAGGAGCTGGTGGCATTCAATGGTAGAGGCAGGCTGAGGGCATGGGGCAATCCCCAGCTTTCTCAGCAGGCAGCTGCCCTTGTGGCACTTGGGGACAGAGCAAGAGTGTGATCCCCAGCTCATCCAGGCACCGCAGAGGAGCAGCTGTGGGGAGAGGGGCTGCAAGGCACACCCAAACACTCCCAAAAACAGCAGAAGGAAAGCTGGAGCTTTTCTTACATGATCATGTTCATCTGAGGGAGTGCACTTTTCCCAGATGCTCTGGAGAATGTCACCCCTATTTTCCTGATAAACAGGAGCAGTTTTCTTCGGCCTGTGAAATATCACTTGTTAGCATAAGTCTCTGAGGGGCTCAGAGCCCTCTATCCCAGGGGACCACCATGAATGTGCTCAGCTCCACCAGCCAGAGATCACCCATGGGCACTGGGAGGGCCCCAGCAGCACACTGGTGCTTCTTGCTAATTGGAACAAGAAAGATTTTTTTATTATTTGGTCCCATAAGCAACTTTGTTTGGGTTCATTTTACAGAGGGGCTAGTCTGCATGAACAGCTGCCAATTAAAAACACTTGTGAGTATCTAGGAGACAGACATTTTTTATTTCCTCCAAAAACCAAAAGCTAAATGGTCCATGAATCTCTTGTGAGAAACAACTCTTAATTTCTCAGTCATGGGACCAAGAAGAGTGAAGTCCACAATCTCTCACATCTCTTCCCCTGTCCCTTTCCTCAAATCCCAATAAATATGTCCAGTCAGGCTGCCAGCATCTGGGGGTGGAGGGAATTGACTCTCCCAAGAAAGTTTAGATGTCAGATTTCCATCTACAGTTTGTGGTCCCACTCCCTTGCCTCTCAACAGGATCCAAGTAGGGTAAGAAGGGGAATTTGACCCCTTACCTCCCAGTCATTTACATATTCCCTAAAGTCAGAATTTATTAAGAAAACCTGAGGTGAGCCCATCTTGAACACCA